CGAACGCTAAAGAGGCAGAAGTCGTCGCCGGCCACGCACGATTGACCCCTGATGGCGACGAAGTAAGCGAAACGGACAGCTAAGATGAGGACGCCGAAGGAAAGAATGCGTACGAGGATGTTCTTGAGGATGTTGGGTTTCAGCGCGAAGGGATCCATGGTGCGGCAACAAGAGATAAACTGATAAAGAATCAAACCGAACTGAAAGAAATGCTTTGGCGCCAAATACAAGATAAGGAGTAGAAAATAAAGGGAGAATCGGAGGGTAAAATGGGAATCTGACGTGTCTTCGTATGGGACGTTTTGGTGCCAGGAGGGTGTCCAGCTGGCTACTAGTCGACGACGATGATGTGTCATACGTTCTTAAGTTAAAAGATTTTTGTTTTCTTTTTTCTTAGTAATATCAATATCTTATATTATTCGTCAACAAAACATACTGTAATTTTAATTTCTCATCCAAATTTAGTATTAATTTATTTTTTATAGTTCATCCGCTAAATATTATAAGTTCATTTTTTAACTAAGAATAGTTATAAATCAAACTATTTTCATAATATTAATATTTTATTTTACTCTATAATTATTTATTCCCTTTCTATTTAATTTTCACGAAATAATGATTATATTCTTATTGATATCATTACGTTAACAAAACATATCGTAAATCTCTCTTTGATGACACAAGTTTAGCATTAATTTGTCCTTTATATTCATCTAATAAATTATTTAACAAAGAATAGCTATTAACAAGACAGTTTCATGATATTTTTACTCTATTTCATTCTATAAACTAAATTACAAAGAACTTATTAATTTGTATTCATCCTATAAACATAATAAGTTCATTTTTTTAACAAAGAATAGTCATAAAGTAAACATTTTCATTATATTTTTATTCTTTTTCATCCTAGAAGTAAAATTACAAAGCTTATTTATTTATTTTGCTATTCTATAAAACTTAGAAAAGGATTTTCTATTCTGTCATAAATGGTTACATTAGACAAAATATTATGTATTGTCAAATTGCAATTACTTTATTCATGATTGGGACACTATTTATAACATAAACAAGTGTTATAGCACAGTGCCTGTTGCCAATTGGACATTGCTTCCACATTATGTGCTTTGTTAAAGCCAAGCAGAAGCCTTTTAACCTTGACAGTTGGGACTGGTTGGGATCTAACCCTGCATTAAACTATTTCACAATGATGAGATTAGCAAAGGGTTAAGAAATGGATTAAAAGGAACAAGACACTAAACAGATAGGCATTGTTAGGTCGGTGGTGGCCTGCGGGGGCCATCACCCATCAATGGTCCTTTTAAATGCACCGTGTGCACCACGGAAATGTCCCACCACCACCACCCCCTCCTTGGCTGCGTATGCTGCTGTTCGTACTCATTTGCCCTTTGTTAAATGTCTTGATTAAGTTTATCTGATGATGTCGACCAAGGATGGAATGGTCATTTTTGACTGCCCTGGAAAGGGGCCGTCCAAGAAGGATCCATCTGGTATGAAATTGGTACGCCAGTTGACCTTGAGCAACTTGTTCACTAAGAAATCCACCCCCCAGCTCCACATTTTTGACTCGTTCAAACCTCCAATTAAAAATTCTGATCATGCATCTAATGACGATTGCAATGTTGCTAATTAGCTATGTTAAAAACCTGGAGTCCTGATTGGGACTAGCAGGCCTGGGAGGTGGAAAGCAGAAAGGACGCGCATAAAAATGAACTTTTTCGTTTGGAAAGTCGTTGGAAGATCCGAGTTTTGCTTTTCAGTCCATAAAAACTGCACAATCTTGCAGGGATTCAGACTGCAGTATTCAATCTCTTGTCAACAATATAAAAGGTGTTTTCTGAAGCAAGTGGATCACTAGGATGTGTGATACAACAAAACAGCAAATGATTTGGGGCTCTCTCCTGTTCTTATCTGGGTAGAGAGGAAGGCCTCAAAATAATCAAAAAATAGGTATAGTAACTTTTACAGGCGGCTCCTATTAGCATACTCAATCTGAATATACAAAAACCAATACTGTGGAAATGTACAACAAACAAACTGAATGCAATTAATTAAATGAACCTGAGCTCCTTATTCTTGTGGTTTTTATCTACTCCCCTCTATAGTCCTAAACCTTACTATGTCGGAGCGAATTTCAACATAGTAAAGACTCGATGAACACCTCATCTCTTGGTTCTTCCTTGGTTCTGGAAAACATATTGTTCACGTGTTGCGGCTGATTCATGAAAGACCCCATGGAGTTGCCAAATCCTGAGAATCCAAAGTTCCCAGTCCCCTGCAACATCTCCAGCGTGAAGGGTGCTTGCCCTTCGGCTGCCGCTGGCCTCAAACTGTGAAGAGAGTTGGTCACGGAATGGTTAGAGTGATTGTTAACAGCTGATGGCCTTATTGCCATTGCTGCATTGTTGTTACCATTATTGTTGTTGTTGTTGTCTGGTAACGGTCTATTGACAGAATGGCTGCCGCTGCCACGAGCTGCCGGGACATCGTGGTTATGCTTCCCTTCATAAGTTGTGATCACTGCCCGAAGATCATGGGATGCTCGCTCAACATGCTTTCTCACTGGACATCCTGGATGCGTGCACTTGTAGTAGCTCCTGTAACCACCAGCAGTTAGAACTCCAAAACCAATAAAGAAACAGAGGACTCCAAAGTTTAAGACAATAAAGAGATTGCAGCCTGGAACTTGGAATTTAAACAAAAGGCAGGAGTGCCAAAACTCAAGCATTCCCCACTAAAGAAACTTTAAAGCTACAACTTATCTTTCTTGGAAGGAGTCTAATGTTAATCCAAAAGACAGACCGAGACAGAACCCACTTTTTGAGGCATATAAAAACTAAGACATCCTATGGATGATACGTTTGAGAGTAATGGATGATCGAATGTTTAACAATCTTGAATGGAAAGAAACGGTATAAAAAACTCACAGTGCTAATATAATACTACTTCTAGAATTTTAGCAAAGCGCACAGATTTCAAAATTTTTAAAAAAGGTGTAAACAGTTCGATGAAGCTGAAGTTTACCTTGGATTTGGATTTCCCTTGACCACTTTTTGCCCATATTTTCTCCATCTGTATCCATCATCCAAAATATCAATGTCACTGGTTGTTTGAACTACAACTCTAGGTTCCCTCACAGTTCTGCTCCCAGGGGCTGAAATTCCTTCATTTTCACCTTCACTTTTCCTGGAAGCAAGTGATATCGATGTTAGCTCAGCAGAAACAGTAAACAATATATTATAATCTATGTTAATAATCTTTGACCATGCCTTTCCAAAAAAAAAAAATCTTTTACCATAAGAAAATAAAAACCTACCATCTTTTGGCCTCAGGCTCGTCTTCATCAAACTCATCTCCTCCAGATTTACTCTTCTGCGAACCCTGATCGAAATCATCATCCACGACTGATATGGAGGAATTTTCCGGGGTTGCGACAGAATCCATCTGTCCACTGCCATGAGTTGCAAATGACTGATCTGGAATCTCGGCGCTGGCAGCATTCGAAGTCTGAATAGCAATGGTAGATGAAGAAGATGATGATGATCTCCTAGTGGACTGAGGCTTTGGATGGTTATGACTACCCTTGTAAACTATCTCAGTTATCTGCCCATCTAAAGACCTTTCAACCTTCTTCTTTGTTGGACAGTTGGGGAACGTGCACTTGTAGTAGCTTCGTGGGTTTTCGCTTCCTTTCACTTGTTTTTGTCCATATTTCCTCCAATTGTATCCATCATCTGATCTTCTGTTCTCTCTAATTGACTGAGGTTGCTGCTGGAAATTGCTATAATTCGATTGGAAGCCACTGTTGCTTTGAGAGTTACCTTGAATGTTGGCAATCTCAGGGGAAAAGCTCTGCATCTGAGTGTATTCAGGTTTTACCATTCTGTTCCCTGAGGAAAAATCCTCTTGCTTTACAGACTCTTGGAAACTCCAAGCTTGTTGTTGCGCCTGAAATCGGAATAAATTCAATCAAAGTGTTAGAAGAAAATAATCTTTAAAAAGATCGAAGTGAAAATTGTTAACTTGAACTAATTGACAATAATTACGTACAGTCTGAATTGTGTTTGTTGACGATTGAAACATGCTTGATGAAGAGGTGGCTGGCCTTGGCTGGGTTTGGAAAGAGAAATTAGAGTAGCTCTTGTCTTCCTGTTTTACGTTTTGCTGGTTGTTTCCAGAATTCGATTTCCAATTGAAAGCCTGAGCCGGAAATGTTCCAGTGGTTGGAGATGGCAGAATCTGTACGTAAAACAAAAAGATAAGAATCCCAAGCACCATCAATCAAAACATGCCAAAAAAAAAACCAAAAGTTAGGCAAAACTCCATGAAACAGAGTTCAATCAGACAAACAAAAGCAAGAGAAACAAACCCAATATTTCAGCAACAGAAACAGATAAAAGAAAAGGAAAGCTTTAAGACAAGTCTTATGCTCTGTTTGGTTTCCGAGAAACCAGTAAAGATCCGAAGAAAGTAAATCAGTAACCTTTTTTCATTTCAAAGATAACGAATAAACTCAAGTTAACAAAGCTTTGGTAAAACTAGACAAAGGATACAGGAAGCTGGAAAGCAGAATCAGAGAAAACAAAAAGCAGAGGATGAAAAAGATACATACGTTAGAAGCGTTCAACAAAACAGGAGAGTCCAAAAGCTCAGCTGGGCTCAGACCTGGGGGGATAGCAAAGTAAGAAGAAGGAGACACGGGAGGGGGAGAGATAGGCAGTGAAGGAGGAGGAAGTGACTTAAACTTAGGCACACCCGAACCAGTCCTCTCCGCAATCCGATCGGACAACGACAACCCACCACCACCTCCACGCTTGGCATCAACGCCACCGTCGAAAGTGGCGGAAGGGTTTTCATCGTCGGCACCACCGGAGGCCAGGAGGTCAGAAAAAGAGGTCGTCATGAAGGGATGTGCGGAGAAACTAAAGGCGTTTTGCGGGTGGGAATTGGCGGACGTATCCAGGCTGCTACAAGAGGAAGCCATCAAAAGAGAGAGAGAGAGGGAGATAAGAGGAAAGAAAGTTAGGGGGAGACGGAGGGTGGAGCTGATATATGATGTGGGAAGAAAGCAATGAAAGAAGAGAAGATGGTCACGTCTTACACAAGTTTCGTTCCTTTTTTTTTTGGTCTGAAGGGAGTTTCTGGGAAGCACAAGGAAAGTTTGACCGTGGAAAATATAGATTGGGGATGGTGGTGCATTTTTGTTTTTTTTGGTCAAACCTCGTGTTTTTGACTGGATGGCGGCTGACGCTGAGATAATGAAATCTATCTAACGGGGTGCCTAGTGTCATGTAATGTGAGCTCAATTTTTTCTTCATAGCTTGTTAACCCACCTTCACAATAATAATCATCCATATTCAAGTTATACATATAATTTCGAATTATCGTTTATATAATTATATAATTATACCCTCAAACACGAATTTTACTCCAAAATTTTACTTGAGTATTGCACATGTAGTGAACCAATAGTATTTCTTGTTTGGAATGAGCTTTAACAATGGAAGACAGTAGCTGACGTGAAAACCAACTCTTGTCTTATACAATTTACAAGGTGAGGTGCCCTTTTTTTTTCCTGCAGTGCCCTGGAAAAGTCTTTGCAAGTTGCAAATCTAGAAGAAGCATCAGCCTCAGAGTCAGACTCTTAACGTGTAGATGGGGCGGTGCCTATCCAGATCACGTCCTTGTTATGGAAAACCTCATTGTACGATTTCTTGAGGATTACGAGACCGGACTCCCAACCAATGGGATTCACTGTTTCAATAGAATTTTTTGGCTTATTTTCTTCATCATTCTTTGCAGTATGTTCCCAAACAGTTTTGGAAACAATGAAACTTGGGTACCTGTTTTGTCCCAAGTTGTTAACTTTCTGCATTTGGGGTTGTCTGTCCATTTGCATTGTTGGGTTTCCCTTTCTCGATGCATTGTCTTAATTGTAACATGAAATCCAGTTCTTGTACCGATGACAGACAGAGCAGACTGCATTCTCAATCCCGTGTATTTCTCTTTTACTTCTTCTATGCTTTTCAGTTTTCCATAGAAGTGTTTAGTAATTATGCATATCATTTTCTCAGCTACAATTTAGGAAGAACAGCCAGGTTTAAAAGAAAAGCGAGAATGTCCTGAATGAAGTATTGAAATTAGAGGTTTATTTCTTCTGCAGTGGTTTGCATTGGCATGAATCAGACAAACATGGCAAGAACAACCAATCAATCAATTAACTAGTACTAGAAATTTGTTCTTTTCTGATTTTGAAATCAATCCCAACTCTGATTAACTGTGAATGGGGCAATCACTAAATAAATTGCCTCCCGAAGAAGTCAGAGCTCAAGAATAGAAGGGCAGGTCACATCCTGTTGCAGAACATAAAGGACGATATAAGTTTTCAGTATTTGTCCATATTTCTAATATAATGAACAGTGGAACGTAACTCTAGGAACCAAGGATTTGGAAAGCCTTTCTAACAAAAGGCTCCGGGTCAAAGTCAGGAAAAACATCAGTGGAGTGGTGAAGGGCCAACTATTGGCATCAGAGATCCAGTGGAAGTCATGACTCATGACCATCTGCGAGGTCAGACTCATTAACTCAAACTCATTAATGCCCACCCAATGCTTATCTTTGAAAGGCCTGACCCGTTTTCTTGCATTTCCTTCCAACTTGTCTCTTGTTGCCTCAGATACTTTGATGTTTCTTTGTGGTTTCTTCCTAGTCAATTCAATTCCATTAATTTGTTAGACAAGGCTTTTTTTAATAAGTTGGGGAATGGGGAGCACGGACGTGACTGAGCCTGGACCAAGCCACTACTTCCATTGGCACATATAAATAAGTTGACAGACTGAGTTTTGACAGTTTAATAATCCAAGCAGAAACCTTTTTAAGGCTGTCAAGATTTATATAAACAAAGTTGCCAAATTTCAAGCCAAAACCTCATTTTGACATAAAGTAATTACATCATTTCAGCCCTTTTTTTCTCTTCTGGGCTACATAGACTCTACATACATATACAGACCCAGACAAGAGATAACCGGTGCATCCTCTGCAAGCTATGGAACTTCAGTACTCCTACCAAAATGCAGCTTCCATCCCTTGGGATCCATTTCCTTCTGTCAACCATACATAAAGAATTTTACTTCCATTGAAGATTATATATTTTAGAGATAGTCTACAACTTTCAAGGTAATTTTAGAGAGTTCTTGCCAGTTGATCGTGTATAGGGTGGCATGACCGAAGTAGATATTTACTCTTAAAATATGCAGTGCAGCTAAAGTCAATTTTAATAGTTCTAAGTTCTGAAAATCACTTATATAATCAGTACAGTACATCATAAACTTAATACTTAGAATCATGGTAGTTTTTTTAGTGGATGATAAGCCATTACAGAACATGTAGCATAACTATAGAATGAGGGAACTGAACTGCAATTCTCATGCTTATCTATCTTTCAAATTAATAAAATAAAATTAATGATATTCTGCTTGCGGGGCAATGATGCAAGTAGGAAAGTTAGCGTTTTCTCTTGACTTGGCCTTTATCTATACAATTTGACAGAGCAAGCTACATGTCTTCTTAGGTAAGTTCACATTTAGTGTTTTCTCTTGACTTGGCCTTTATATATACTAATTGACAGAGCAAACTACATGTCTTCTTAGGTAAGTTAACGTTTCTGATACATCAAGCTTTCGTTTAGATTTGGAGAAACACTTACCTGAAATGCCTTGTCCCTCCAGTGAAACACACACCCATGGGCTCCCATGTACTGAAGAAAGGATTGAGGAAGTAATGGTCTAAAGGATGCATGAAGTTTTACTTTTGTTAACCCTCGACAGGCCAACAAGGCTGCTGCCAGGCCATTTGGAGTCAAACCAGCCAAGTGCAAGATTGTCATGTTCTGTAGGCGATTGAGGCTAGCGAGTGCTACAAGCCCAACGTCTGTAACAGAGCAATAAGACAAGTTTATCTGCAATGAAAAGAAGTGAACAACGCTATTAGTTCAATATTAAGCCATAATAATCCAATCCACAAGAATTAAAGAAAATGATAATATATAATAATACCTGCTTTAGATTTTGGGAAAATTGAGCAAGTGGAAGCATTCCATTATCATTAATATTGAAGCATTTCTTTACGTCAAGCACAGTAAGTTGCTTACATCCCACAGCAATGGCTGATAGACCAATTGATGAGACACCAGGGCATCCACGAATCTCAAGTGCTTTTAACATCAAGCATTTTGACAATGATATTAATGAGTTATCTGTAACTTTACCATTATAAGCCATATTGATCATCTCAAGAGCAGGACAACCATCAGCAACGGCTGCAATGCCTGCATCACTTATTGCCATGGACCTGCCAAAGAGAAACACGTTAATATCAACATTGAAAGGAGAAATTATGTACCATGCAGAAGAGTGCAGCAGCATCCCAACATCTGGGGGACTAACATGATAGCACCTGTTTCTTTTAGACCCCTGTGCATGACCATCAGGAGAGTTTTGTAGTATGGCCTAGTGGGATCTTTATCCTTGTTAAAATTAGTGTTCTATGCAGCATTGAGTGCCCATAGAGTTTAAGATGCTCAATAGACCACCCATTTATGCAGTGGCCAGTCCTAGCGAGTATGAAATGTGTTCGAGGTATAGGAAAGTTGCAAACCTGTACAAATCAAGCTCTGTAAGCATTGAGCAAAAACTTCCAACATTAGCAAGTCCTTCATCCGATATGTTAGTGCAGATCCCTAACTTTAGAATAGATAATTTTGAACATCTTGAGATGGACTTCAAACCTGCAAGAGGTAACATAAATCATTCACAGAGACTTTCATTCATACATAAAACAGGTTATGGTCAAGGTAAAACCTTCATCATCAATTTCATTATCTGTGGCATCCAGCTCCTCCAAACATGAGCATCGCGCTCCAATCAAAATAAAGGCTTCCTTTGGAACCAAGCTACAAGATTCCATCCTGAGTGAAGAAAGGGAGGTGCATGAATTTGTTATGCTGTCTATAGAGGTATATGTTATCTTACGACAGCATGTGATGTCTAATTTCCTCAGTTCTTTGTGTGATTGGACAAGGAAAGACAGCCCCTCATCTGTCACTCCTAAGCATTTACTGAAGCTCAGCTCCTTGATTGAGGCATGCAAACTAGCCATGGCTTTGATCCCAGATGAAGTAATTAAACAACCATCTAATTTAATTGATTGAAGCTTTGAAAAAGTATGCAGGCATTTTGCTATATCAGAAGTAACCTGCACCACCATCAAATTGTTAGCAATGCCAAAAGATTAATATAGAGTTAATAAGAGGAAATTACCTTAGGGAGTTTCAGACTTACAACAGAGCCATATGCCAATATGAGCTGCTGTAGTTGTTGAGCACCATTTGTCAGAGATGACAAGCCCGTGTGAGTAACATTCTGACAGTTTGACAAATTAAGCATCTGTAAAATATGCAATTCGGAGAAACTGTCATTTGAAATTACATTACTCTTTGAGGGATAACTCATATGAACCTAATTCAACAACCCTACAAACTGAATATAACTTCTGTAGTCCTAGTATCAATTGGATTCTTACATTTCAACATGAGAGGCATGCATGTAATTATTGCTTGCAGAAACTTCAATCTTGAAATAAGATTACAACACGAAAAAAAAATCCAAAGTCTTGTTAAAAAAAATTCAAGTGCTGGCAGGGACTCTCTCATGTTCTTTCTATAATTCAATCTGCTTGCAATGCCCTTCAAAAAAAAGAAAAAAGGGGCTTGCAATAATCTTGGGCTGCTTAAAATGCCAACCTTTTCTTAAGGAACAAAAGGGAAAAAACATACCTTTAGTGACTTACAACTTTGCTTGAGTGTTGAAAGGCCATCATCATCAATGCCATGGCAGCCCTCTAGAACCAGATCTTCAAGATGTTGGAGTTGAAGGACAGATTTGACGCACTTCTCTGTGATCTGTGGTACAAAAGCAGAGAAGTTTTCACGATAACCTTTTCATTTGATTGGCCATTCTCTTAACTAAGAATCAAGAAAAGAAAAAATGCAGTGATCAGGTCTTGACATCAACACAAGAGCAGATTCTAGTAGCCATAGCATACATGAGAAATGACCAGTTAAGTACACTGAATCATGTGCTACAGTATTGCATCTTTTCCACTTACAATCAAAATTATATCTTGGCTTTCTATAGGAACTTCTCTAGCTGTTTTGCATAAAAAAAAATTAACATTTTGTGCTTATAAGCTGGTCCATCGAGGACAAAAGTAAACGAAATAACTCGTCAAGGGACACTTTTGAGGCAAGTTATTTGGCTAGTCTTCACTCCAAGAATCTCAGAATAGAAACTATTAGACTCAGCAGCTCAATAGAAATCGAACAAATGACTGACAATGGATAGGATAAAGGAATTGATCAACAATCTATAGGAAGAAAAAGTGCGAGGACCACAACATTCTCTTTTCAAACATGCTTATCAGTGCGCGCTTTAAAAGTTAAAAAAAAAAGGGAAAAACAGTGACATCAACATCATACTGCCAAAGGAAAAAAACAAGGGCAAAATATAAGTGACATCAACATCAGATTGCAATGAGCTAATTGTGACAAGACTTATCGTGGAAAGTAAACAAATGAAGCAAAACGAGTCGCAATGGATTGAACAAAGTGAAGTGCGCAGCCGAAAGGCCGAAACACACTAGTCTAGAGCCTAAAAATATAACCATTTGGCTACTACAGGTTGCCCTTTCCTGCCATGATAGTGAAGAGCAAGCTTAACTTTCTGTTCTTTGCCACAGCTTTCTCGGCGAGAAACCAACACAGAGTTTAAAAAAAGATATTGAACTTACCGGTAAATAAGAAAGATCTAAACTCCTGATCTCCTTGCATTTTAAAGCAATCAACTCCACACCCAAATCACCAACACGCAGGCACCACTTCAAGGAAAGCAACCTTAACTTTCTACACCCAACAGCTATACAGCCGATCCCCATATCAGTTATTAACTTGCACCTTGCCAGCTTCAATCTCTCCAAATTCTTCGCCTCTGCGATTGCTGAGGCCGCCAAGTCAGTCAACTCCGTCCCGTTGGACAAATCAACCTCAACGAGACCCGAACAGTTAACAAACAAGCTTGATAACCCGTCATTCGTGAAAAACCTTGATCTGGATAGGTTTATTGAATGCAAAGTAGCTTTCCAGGTTGACGATATCACGTTTAACGTGCTGTCATCAACACGCGGGCAAAGAGAGAGATCGAGATGGGAAACGAAAGGGTATCTGTGAAGGGTTCTCGGGAGGAGCTCAGTGCGTAGAGGCTTGAGAGTCTTGCGGTGGCGAGACTCTATGAAGTAAAAGGCCTTGCACGTGAGAGAGAACGACTTGCTGGCAGAAGGGTACTCGTCGGTGTCAAGATAGTCAAGGATTTTCAATACAACCTCTTCCGTTAAGACATCAAAGGGATTGGATGAAGAATCAGGTGAAAGTGCTTGCATTTTTTCCTTGTTCTGGCCTTTCATTGCGCTGTTCGAATCCAGTTTCTTTTTCCTTTATTGGAAGCTTTTCAGCGAAAACAAATCCGTCAAAAAGGCTTGGGGAGGGAAAGGAGAAGATTATGAGAACAGGTTTTGGATAGAATGTGCAAAGAGACTTGGATAGCGGGGCTTGCAAGATTCTGAGGTAACCGTTAACAGAAAACAGTAGGATCAACTGGGAGGGGGACTTGGGTTGTATCTGGGAAGGAGAAGAACCTGCATGCCAAATTACGAAACTAGGCTTCCGAGCTTTTGTCAATTATATTTTGCCTGACCAAATGACCCTTGCTTCTTATGCTTCTCTGAATTTTTGGCTTGGCTCTTACCTAGCAAAATAGCTGTAAAAGAGGAAAGTGCGAGAGGGGGGCGTTTTGGGAAACAGCAAAGATGTCCACCGTCACTTGCTAATAATAGAATGCTCGACTCATTCGGGGAAGTTATCATATGAGGAAGGACAGATTCAAGTGCACATGGTACGGCAATCATATACAAAGTCCGCCCACCTTCCCCCGGCATATAATAACGTACAGAAACGTTGTACGTTTTAGCCGTTGTCACGGTTCTCTCTTTGGCGCGTTAATCCCACTTTCCATCTCAGTCCGACCACGTACTCTTAAGCCTTTCCAGCGACATTTTTAGGCTGTCTTTTGTTTTTCTAGTTATGATTATAGCTGTGAAGTTACAGAGTCCACCAATCACGGGTTGCCATATTATCTCCTTTTGTTTTGACATTACTCCTTGAGTTTGTTTTTTTGGTTAAATTATTCATCACGTCACATACGGATATCACTTTCCCGATGAGGAAAACAATGGATCACATGTTACAGCCGTCCCAGGGAAAAGGCAGGAAAATCCAGGTTTCATCCAGGTGCTGTGGCATCCACGGTTGAGTTAAATATGGAGTTATGAACGATAACAAAACTGCAGTTAAGAGTGGAAGACATTTGACCGCTTCACAAATGAAAGAAGTGTACCTTTAACCAACATAGTTGCAGAAATAGAACAAGTTATCACAAAATGCATCCTCTGCTATAATCATCTAACTTGGGTTGGCTACTTTCAAACATCAAAGACATGAGACAAGGCTTCCATGATTAGTTTCTTCGAGATCTACATGACTACGGTATGCATGAATCTTTGCACCTATTACATATCCATACAAAGTTATACCAAGAAATAATACAATCACGGACAAAAAGGGAGAGGTCACTTCTTAGCAAAAGTGATAGCCATGGGATATTGAGGGGCGATCTTGAAACCCTGAAGGTGCTGCATGGCTGTAGAGGACTGCTCTTCATCTTCATACTCTACAAAGGCAATGCCTGGCTTTGCTTCAATCATTCGAACTTCCCTGAATCCTGGGTACTGTTCGAAAAGCAGCTGCAGCATCATGCTAGTTGTCTCGTGAGGTAAATTCTGAATGAACAGAATATTGTTTGGTACAGCCTGTTCCTGGGCATTCAAATTTCCATGATGGAAAGGAGCCTGCACATAATCAGACAAACAGCATGTCGGCAAACTCCATTCCTCTTGGTAAAAAGCACGGCCAAAAGCAGTGTAAGGCATATCTTAACTTACTATCTAGGCACCAACATTCTCATAGGTAAAGATATGGGGTTTCAGAGAGGAAAGAGAGGAAGCAACCATCAAAATGAACATAATACTGCAAATTACCTTTGGACCTCCATTTTGAGAACCCATGCCATTCGTCATTGCAGATTGCTGTGCTTCTTCTGCACGTCGCTTCCTTTCAGCTGAAAGTTGCATATTGTATCAAAAGAATGTCACCCAATAGAAGCAGATAAACTAAAACACCAAAGAAAAAGGCCAAATCAAAATATTCTGGCCCAAAAAACACAACTCCATAGACTGGTCCTTTTTCTTCTTTTGCTTTGGTAGAAATTTTCTTTACAAACAGTAAATTCAAAAGTCTACATATCTGGTACCAGGATAGCACCAAAAAACAAGCAGCCAGGCTCACTGGGGTCATTTATCCTGCACTGAAATTAACAGAAGTTCTGGGATAATATTGCAAAAGGAGATTCTACTTTCTTGTCCCATCGCAATACAAATGCATCAATCACTGAACTATGAAGTTAAAGAAACTCTTTTCATAGTTAAGAAAACAGAAATATTTAACTGCCCCTGCTTCCTTTGCCTTGTCTAACTGAACCCCAAACAAAGTACAACCATCATTTCCTTACTCTCTCTCTCTCTCTGTTTTTATTTCTGTCAAAAGGGTAGGCTAGTGCAATATTACTATTGGATCATCACATGATAACATAATCAAATACTGATGAAAATTTTTTTCTTAAGTAAATCAAGGCCATGCATTATGCATATGGAAATTTGAGGAGCTAAAAGAATGACGTAGTCACCTTTTTCTCCTTGCTTCTTCTTCTTTTCCCTGGGAACGTAGCTTCCATCATCTTTGGCAACACAATCTGACTTTGTTTTGGCATATTGTATCCGCTGCACCAAATTAATCAAATAGACAGTCACATCTAAGCATCATTAGGAACTAAAACCACATATAAACATAGAGCCTCGCTAAATTTTGATTGCAATCACAAGCGATACCTACAGAATAAAGGAAATGCTATTCAAGTAGCCATCTTAAGGAATCTATGAACTCAGGGATGTAGATGAGGTATAGTTGCAAATGATCTTCTGGATTGGATGCAACAGAAACAAAAAAAGGACCTAAATTGTCAGAAATATGAGTTGATATGATAGATTTCTGAAGGTTTAACTTACTCCAGAAGACAGAACCACACGTCGTGAAAAATATATACAAACCATTGAGCATCATGTCACAGTAAATGACAAAATAATTCCAACAAGATTAGAGAGACTCAACAAAGACTAATTTCACTACAATGGTAACAGTGAAACCCCAAACCAAATGCAACACCTACATCATTAGAATTTGAAAGAAAAGATACAATGTTCACTTTGAGGCAATAACACATACACATACTCACCATAGGCTTATCATAAAATGGAAAATTTTGCATTTGACGAAATGCGTTGCTGGCAGCTGTCAACTCGTTAAACACAACCCATGCTTGTCCACGAAGCTTGGGTGTCTTCAAGGCAACAACATCCAAAATCCTTCCATATTGAGAGAATAAAGCATAAAGGGATCTCTTTAATTCTGACAAAGCATAAAGAAACAAAATGTTAATGTGAAATCAATTCCCATTTCAAAGTTCAAACTAAAAACAAATCTTAATTCCAAGATCCTAGCATAAAAGCAAGCCGATTGGGTTAAACCCTAAAACAAGGGAGAGCTTTTTCTGTTAAACCCCAAAAGAACCTATACTTTCCATCTTGCATATACAACTCCTTGGCAAGGTTCAGCTGCGCTAATTGGCTTCTAGTTTGTCTCATTTCCCATCATTTTCCCAGCAACCAAACAAAACCGAGCGAGAGAGAGAGAGAGATACCTTCTTTTCTGATCTTCTCATTGAGGTTCTTGATGTAAATAGTTTGATTTGGAGGTATATCAGCTGTTAGCATTTTCGCTGGCTTGCCCTTCACACTAATCTATCAATCACCAAGAGAATCAAGGACTGTGAGCTGAAAGAAAGTAAAGTCCCAATTTTTGTGCGAGGAACTGCAGAGGAAGAGAAAAGGAGGTAATCAGGAATTGGGATTGGGCCGCATTAAGCCCTAGAACACCTCTTATTCAGAATTGGGCTTTAATACATGGGCCCTTAGTAGAAACAATTGGACTGTTTTGGGCCGAGAGTGAATCCACACTACTTTTTTGGGACTTAAAAGTCTCGATATAATGTACCAGAATTAGATCGAGTGTTGAACGATCCAAACTAAAATATTTAAACGAAATTGATGGAATTCGATTAATTCAGTTATGTTTTTCCGTTTTTGGTATTAATTGGTTAGAATGGACGGATGATTTATTTGGTTATTTCAATTAATTTTTTATTCAAAATTTACAACCAAATCAACATAAAATAGATTATTAATAAATATATATATATTATATATAAACATAAATATTATTAATATTTTTAAAATATAAATATTAGGATCTACCAAACCAATTGAACTGATAGAGATAAGTCAATTTCGATTATTTTCAATATTTTATTATAATTCAGTTGATTTTAATTGTTTTTTAAGAAAATTTGACTATTTTGATTTTTAAAATTTTAAAATTAAATTGATCGAACCGATCCAATGTGATGGTAAAGTTTATTATTAAAATTTCTATACTATGACTTTTATCTTTTTAAATTAGAATGAAAAGTAAAACTAATGGTGTCATACATATTTGACAAATGCTTTCGCCTCCGACCATTTTCCTATGATATGTCTCCGCTCCTTGCTCACACCAACCTTTTAAAAGAATTCCTCGTTCATGCAACAAGTTCCTGTCTTTGGTTTCTTTCCTTTTTCTTTAGACTTGTCTAATCTCTTCGAATGCTTCAAGTTTTGTCTGATTGTTAAAGCCAACTTGGAAACCTCAAAGCAGAGATTAACATTGTAAATCAATCACAATGATGGCTTTGTTCAAGTAGACCTTGTTCACGTGTAACATGAGTTCCATATCTCCACCATCTTCAGCTCTTTTGCTTTGGCATTGCTTGGGGACCAGTAGTCTTTATGGCCACGACATAATCATGGTCCTGAATGTGCTTTTGGTCTAGCAGGTTAATTTTCGTGGATTTAAGGAGCTTGTGCAAAGTTGGGTTCTTTTAAGATTTTTATTTGTGCCTTTCATTTGCTTGAATATATATATATATATATATATAGGAATCTTTATTTATTTCCATTTTCCTTTATACTTGCATCTTCTGATATGCACGTTTATATACCCTGGTGGTTACTCTATTGGATTTTGCTTGTCAATCTGGTTTTATATACCCTCAAGCTACACTACCCCATCCAGCTTGCTTTAATCTATAGTTATAGATAGAGATAATTCTAGAACTCTTAGACTTCTGTGTCAAGCCATTGACACTTGAAGTTAGAAAATCTAGCTGGCTACAGGTCATGATGGTTAAAACTCGAATATATATATCTTGTACGTCTCGACTTTGAAATAGAATTTACGAAATGGAAGTGAGTTATCTCTTATTGTACAGCTCGAAAAATGAATGTGCTGATGTTTTATATGATTAGAATGTTGCAAGTAGCCAATTCACCATACCTAGTGTCACCAGCAGCAGCAAGCAATATCAGTTGTATCCCATACCATACCTCCCACTCATTAATACAAGGAGCTGGATTTTGTTGAATATTGGTTCTATCAACTTGCGTATGCCGGCCAACTATGCATAACTGTTTCATTCTATCTCCTAATAATGCCTATGCATTCAATGAATTCTTCCATGTGCATACATATCTCCATTGATATTCAGATGAGGAGAAAACAGATCAGCAAAAAGTACAGAAAATCCTTGAAAGAAATGCCACCTAAGCACTCAAAATATATAGTTGGTGAAGGAATATAATTTTGCATCTACAAATCAGTTGGAACTGAGAATCCCGAGAGTCAAGCAAGTAATCTGCTAAGTCGTTGATGACTGCCATCTGGTGTGTATGTTGAAAGCAGAAAGGCTTTGAAAAAGTCTGACTTTCAAAGGGTGGAATAGAATGGTGATTCTCTACACGAATCCTTCTTGGCTTAGCCCGGGATAAACGAAAGAAAAAACTTGTCTGAGATCTCTAAATTCTTCGTGCCGTATACTCTATGTTCGTCGTTGCCCTGCATGCATCGAACTCATGATCATAATAAGAGAAAAGAACTTTAGGTTATATCAGGTTGCCTTCATAGATATCCGATGCAAGGCTTTTGCCAACCGTTCCCTTCATTCGAACTTTCAAATACCCTATTATCCAAAAAGAAAAAAAACAAAACGACATTTCAAGGATTCACTTCCCAAAAACCAGGAGGGTGATTATGGTCAATTCATAACACTTTTTCTCTTTTGAAAGAGAGAAATTTGGAGCTATAAATAGAGGTGGAAAGCTCTCCTGGAGACCCTACTAAGCCAAAGCCACTTACCAGCTTTATCTGTCTCTATAAATCATAGTTTATAGCTTCTGTTCATCTTTGCCCCTCTCTGAATATTTCTTTTTCCTCCCTTTTTGTGTATTTTCCTGTTCTATCATCAAACATGCCTGCTCAAGTTATACCTGAGAAAATATTTCAGGGGGTTGATTTCGTAGAGAAAAATACCATCTCCCAATTCTCACTAAGAAGGTAAGTTTTTTTTCCTGCAATGGTCTCTCATTCATGTATATATTTTGCCTATTGCCTTAAGAAATCATGTTTACAGAATCAATGCTTTCATTGTAATTTCTGGACAAGAAGTCATTTCTATATAGTTCCGTAGCTTAGCTAAAATTTGTTGTGACCATCTGATTGCAGGCTTGAGGAAAAAGTTGCGATTATAACGGGAGGTGCCAAAGGGATCGGTGAGGCGGCGGTGAGACTCTTTGTGAAGCATGGAGCCAAAGTCGTCATTGCTGATATTGCTGATGCTGCTGGCATTGCTTTGGCCAACTCATTGGCCCCTTCAGCAGCATATGTACATTGTGATGTAAGCTCGGAAGAGGACATAGAAATTTTGATCAATAAAACAATTTCATTATTTGGCAATCTTGACATCCTTTTCAACAATGCCGGGGTTCTTGGGAATCAATCCAAGAGGAAGAGCATCATCGATTTCGATGCCAGGGAGTTCGATCGAGTAATGCAAGTCAATGTCAGAGGAGCCGCTCTTGGGATGAAGCACGCAGCAAAAGTAATGGTGCCAGGAAAAAGTGGTTGCATAATTTCCACAGCGAGTGTAGCAGGTTTCATGGGAGGGCTCGGGCCTCATGCTTACACGGCCTCCAAACATGCCATTATAGGGCTTACGAAGAACACTGCTTGCGAGCTAGGCCGGTATGGCATCAGGGTAAACTGCATTTCTCCCTTCGGGGTGGCCACTTCCATGCTTATCAACGCATGGAGAAGTTGTGAAGTAGATGAGGAATGCACGGATTTGGAGGCAACTGATTATGATCACAAGGAAGCAGAGAAATTGGAGGAATTTGTGAGAGGATTAGCCAATCTAAAGGGTGTGACTCTCAAAGCTAAAGACGTGGCCGAGGCCGCTCTTTATCTTGCTAGTGAAGAGTCCAAGTACATAAGTGGTCATAACCTTGTGGTGGATGGTGGCTTCACCAGCTCCAAAAATTGTGTAGGCTTGTGACAATGGCAACCCAGTTTCATTTCTTTATTTAATTAGTGGTTGATGATCGGTGCAAGAACAGAAAAAGCAAAATACAACTAAAAAAACAATGCTATTTTTGTACTCATTTAGTGACCTTTTTCCAATGTCACAGCCGCTTCAATGATGTCTGCCACTACTTTTTAATCATCTTGATGAGGCTAATATGTTAATTTATCAGCCCTCCAAGTGGCTAGTGTTCCATTTGGTTGGAAGGGAATCAGAATTTGGGGGAGCCTATGTAGCTCCCGATTAGTCTTTTGATGTGAAAATTAGGCGAAACACTGCCTGGATGAATCGAGGGAAATGGGTTAAAATATTTCAAGTTGCTAGACAATAACAGTATCATCGATTAGGATTGCTGCGGAGAAGAACTCTTGAAAGCGTATAGGTATATTCCTGCAGCTTCATTCATTTCCCAATAAGCAGGCGAAGCACTCTAGGGAAACAGCAAATCATGCTGCAGCAAGTACTTACAATATGGACCAGCTCCAGAAATCAGGGCAGAAAAAATAATCTCAAAAGATAAATTAAACTACTGTTTTGTTTGTTGCCCAAAGAAGGATTGTAGCCATGGAAAGTAGGACTAATAATATATTTGCTTGAGCTCTGGACGCACAGAGCACAAAGCCGTCCACTTGCTCTCCATATCCAACTTTCATGCAATCTCATGGATCGAATAAACATGCTAACTGATGAGATGGAATCTTTTGATAGAAGCAACGAAGGTGAACTCTTGAGGCAGCTGTCAATGGAGAGAAAGTAACCATTTCCTAGAACTGGTGACCATCGTTTGACTGTGGAATGACCCTATAGCCGCTTACCATCTTTCTAATTCTGGTAAAGTTCTGTTTGATTCGACTTGGATGATCCTTGAATAGCAGGGGTCGATCGACTCGATCCAAGAACTAGTCAACAATGGCGTCTCTTAGCATTAAAAAAAGGGTTCACAGTTCTCTTGCAGCGTTTCCATGTTTTTACAATTCAAACTAGTTGAAATCAGAATCCTTTGTCCGATGTGTACCATTAGAAGAAGTAACACAACTTTGATATCCCTTCAAGATTCTGATGTTTACATATTCTTTCTTGGTTCAGGTCGATTTTTTCAGGAATAAAAGGACTCAAAATGGGTGAACACTAATCAGCTAGTGCAACAAGTTTATAACTAGTAAAAATGTGGAAAAATGTATTATCTACTTTGGGTCATGGGAGAAACTCAACATTGTGGTTTGTAGCTTTACAACTTAGTAGATTTTACATGAATATTTGTTCATCGGCAGTGAAATTGGTTTGTCAAGCTGACTGTAAAGAAATCCTATGTCATAGAACCTCTTTGAGACAAGTATTTGGTAAGTTGCTGCTATCACGTTACAATAAGTCGAATGAAGTATAATGTAACATGTGATTATGAAAAATTTCCCTGTCAGTACTCGTAATTAAGGAGTTCAAGATTTCACACAATGTTATAGATAACACAAAGTACATGACATTTAAACTGGTGGTTAAGTAAGTAGTACACATTCTATTCATGATTTCAACACATAAATTACACAAGAAAGACATCAAACTAACGAGCCTGTCAACGACAAACAAGAAAGAGCGGAGGAAACAAGAAGGCAAATAGAGAATTATGCTCCTTATTAAACCAGAGTGCAGATGACTACGTAGCTAGAGAGCTAAAACAAGGCCAGGCACAGACTTGTCATCACAGAGCTTGCTCTGCCAAACACTCTGGCAATTAGCTCCGACAGTCGGGGCCGACGATATCGACGGTGGACCTCCCTCCGAGTTGCTAAGTCGGGCGACGGTGAGAGATGTGTTAAAATACTCCCTAACTTGAGTTAATATCCCATTAGTGACGGTCCAAGCATGCACCCAAGAAGCGTCGAGTTCCTTGTTGTAACCCTCGACAATGACCAAGGAACCGAAGGCAGTAACACTCAGAGGAACAAAAATGAAGGGGTCAGTTGATCCAGTGAGCAACCGCATCAAATGCTGATGTGATGGCGGGCCGTGAAACCACCACTCGAGGTCTGCTGCCAGCAGGCGGTGCACCGTTTCAACGTCACGAGAATCCAGTGCGTCGTAAAGGGCTCTAACCACCCTTTCGTTAGAGTATTCTTCCTCTTGGCCCTCCAGTCTCGCTTGATTGTTCGCCAGCTCTTCGGCTAATAAAGCTAGACCGCCAGAGAAAGGAAATGAAGGGTGAGGTTTAATCTCGAGGATACTTTAGGATGGGAGATAAGGGTTCTTATATAGAAGAGAAAGAGGGGAAGCTTGGACGATTGGGTTGCATGGTTGGTTCTGAGGCATGCAAGGGGACCCAGGAAATGAATCCGGCATGTTCATAATTAATTATTTTTAGGTTAATAATGCGGATGGATGGATGATGCAGAGCAGCTTAATTATTGTGGCTCTTAGGAACAATGACTAGTCGTTTTCATTGGAATTTGGTACAATTCCCGTTTTCATTTCCCAAAAAGGAACATGACTAAAACCTTTAAGTTCTACAGCTATCACTTGATCTTACTACCTATACGTGATCAGCAAAACGATGAAAACGTAAGTTTTGCTTTCAAAAACAAAGAAGAAAAAGAGAATCCACCACAACATAGGTTATATAAAGTAATTAAGATTTACAAAGCTGGATTGTTTGTCTGGAATGTTCAAAAGAAGGCGCTTTTTATGCCAAACTACTACAGTTGTTAGCATTTCGTATGTGTTTTGGGTCTCTATATTGGACAGGAAGACGGCATGAGGAGAATGGTTAAAGATGTGTGGGGAGATTGAGGATTAGGTAGAGAAATTTGGTGTCGTCCCAGAAAGTAGACAATAGATTAAATCAGACTGACGTTGACACTATCATGATCTGGCTATATAGGCTTTGTGACGAATGGAATTTTCTAGCCACAAAGAACAAAAATGTCACCTCACACGTTTCAGCTGGCAAATATCCATACAAACAAGCTACTCAGTGACAACCTTTCAACCATTTACCGGCCTGGAAGTGGAAAGTTTGGGTACTCTCTACTCCTGGGAAAAGTTCAAGGTCATTCGTGGCATTTCAATCCTGGATATCTGTAGATGAAATCCATGTAATTTTCTATGTACGTGGCTAACAAATTCTCATGATCCCATCTGCAAAAATATCAATGAATAATTACACTTAAAATATTCCCGATGATATGCGGTAAACTATGCAAGAAGACGTAGATACAGGTAATGTTGTTCCAATTTTCTTACCTTTATTTGCAACTTGCTCCGACAAAAACCCAAAACGTACAATTTTCAAACCAACCAGGTTTAATCCCAGGAAAATGTTTGTCATATCTTGCATAACGTAATCAATCTCAGCACTTTGACAATGCACAAATGGTTGTGCAACACGCATGGAGCTGCATGATCACGGCATGCAAATACAACATAAGCGGACAATGACTCGCAGGGAAAGTTTGCTTCGGTGCGTTCCACCTTCGTGACCTACTTTCTTTTGGTTTTGGGGTTATTGAGCCTAGTTTAATGGCGAAGTTTTGTCACTAATCATTTGTTAGCACACTAAGAAAAGCAAAGGGGATATAATTAAAATTTGCGTTGTTCACCTTTCGGTCATACACTGAGATCAATTTGGACAGAGAGTCACTTGCACCCATTAGCCACCTGACCCCAGGAATCCTCTTTAGTCATTTTGATGCTACAATGTTTTCTATAAACAAAATTATAGTTGTAATATATAGCTACTTCAACAAATTATCACGACTCCTCAATGTGCGTGTATATATATAAAAGGTTCTGTAGCACATAGTGATGCTGACGATCACTAACGGCTTTGAGCCTATTAAGGTACTATGAGTGATTTTCTTTATTTGCATTAACCATGAGACGTTGGTTAACCCTAGGTTTTGAAACACATTTTTATAATATTGTGTAAAGAGGGTTAGTAAAGATTACATAGTTAATTCATACTGCAACAGGCTTTTTGTCCTTTTATTGGGTGGAGGTCTTAATTAGTCCTACATGTGGCACACCATTACAAATAAATCCAACAAATGTCATTCGACTTTCTAATTCTAAGCAAAGCATAGTCTAACTCCTATCCTGCCCTATCCTATCATTGGTATTTCGTTTAATAATCAGTTTCCTCTTCATATTCAAGCTCTTGTAACTTTTTGTGATTAACAACCTTGTATGCTTATCTATTTGGGTTAGAATCATAGCTTTAGAGGATTACACCCATGGAAGTTGTTTGAGTTGGGATCACATACTTTTAGGAGTCCTAATTTTGAAAATGAAATCTAATTCGATCCTTATGTTATAAATAAAAAAGATATTGTATAATATAAATACTGTTATATCGAGAATTTTTTATTTTTGAATGATATTGGTTATACATCTAACCAATTAAAATGGATTATATTATGAAGATATCTCAATTTTAAGAGAAATCAAGAGGAGATATCATACTGTTGAAATGCCTTAAATGGTGTCAAACATTGGGACACAACGTTAAAACTGAACTAACAATTGTGTTAAAACTCAAAGACAAGCCTAAGACAGAGCATGTTGTTTTGTTGGGCTTTGGGTACATCAGTTGCTCTAACCTGCAGCCCAAGAGAAATCAAGGATGAGCGGAGAAGGAAGGACCAATCAAACTAAACTTGGGCTCCAGCAGATGAAGTTTGGGCTGTCCATGTTCGCTTCTGGGAAAAACCTCTCACCTCCCCAAAAACCTCAAACTCGACAGCACAAGCTCAGAAGGCAAGAGTTTACAGCTTTACAGACAAGGAGATGTTGAGGTCCATTGTGAAACAAGCAACGCTCTGGAAGCCCCGACGCGACGGGATAATCCCTCAGCCGCCGGCCCATCTCCGATCAAAGCTCTATTCTTCGAAGAACGCGAAGGCATCTCTCACAAAGGCCAAGAAAGCGGATGCCAAGTCGAAGTCCAAGACCACCGGTTCCTCGTCCGCCACCGCATCTACCGCAGGTGAAGAGTTCGAATCAGCCGGCGCCGACGACTTCGAGGCTGCTCGAGCCCGACGCCTGGACGAGGACGAGAAGGACCCTTCTCTGGATGTGGGTCCCAATGGACGTCCCTTGTTCACTTCGACTCCCTCGCTCTCCCAGCTGACGCGGAAAGACGCTTGCTCATATATGAAGTTTAGTGACAAGGGATTAAGGGAGGTGTTGCCGGAAGGGTTGCCGATGGGAATGGTGACAGAGTTCAAGGAGTCGATGAGGCCAGCGTTGCTTGTTCGACAGAGTTTCGTGGATCTTCGTGATAATTTTAGACGCATTGTTGATCCTCCAATGTGGTCTTCTCATACTAAAGGTGGCTCTTTTTCATCTTTTCTAATATCAATGATATAACAAAAATTCAATCTTTTTTTTAAAAAAATTCATTTTCAAAATCCTTTCTTGTGTATTCATGGATCATACAATCAAACAATTGAAGTTATATAATAATAATAAACATTTGTGGCTATTTTAGATGGTGGGTGTTCTAATAGATTGAATTTGTGTTATGCTCTTAATTCTGGTGTTTACCTCCTCAGCTCCTAAAGCCAGGAAGCAAGTTGTACTGGACGGTCCAGTTAGCTGTGGGAAGAGTATTGCGCTGGCAATGCTTGTGCATTGGGCTCGTGATGAGGGTTGGCTTGTTTTATATGCCCCTAGGGGTCGTGAATGGACTCATGAGGATTTTTCTATAAAATCCAGGAACAGGTCTTGGGACACGCCTGTACAGGCTGAAAATGTTCTCAAGGCAAGAACTTTTCTCTATGTCAATTAAAATGTTTTATGCTCCGGTTACTGTTGTTGTCAAAAATGCTGACTGTTGCATGGTACCTACATTGCAATAAGTCAGAATATACAAAGAAGTTTCTGTTTTCTTCTCCATACTCAATGTTAGTTTTTGTTTCTGGTAATGAGATGAGGACAGATGAAAGTTTAGATGTTGAGGCCTTCCCCACTTTTCCCACGAGAGAATTCTAATAAGACAAAGGAAAAAATGAAAAGATGTCATGTCTACGCTATGTGTGTCTTTGACACTTTTTTTGTTTTAAATTTTCTGCTTGGTTTGTTATATGATGCAATGAAGTTGTATACCATATTTCCTTATGGTTTATTTTCTTCAGGATTTTCTGAAATACAATGAATCACGCTTACAACAATTGCCTCGCCAAATTTTCGATCCTATTCCATTAGGAGAAGGTGCCGGTGTTGGATGGATGAAAGGAGTTGAATCGATGGCCCTCCCTGAAGGTTCAACACTGTATGACCTGGTTCAAATGGGAATCAAGTACTCACATGCAGCTGTTGGAGTTGTAGTTAGGCTGAGAAAAGAATTATCACTTGTGAAAGATGTCCCTGTGCTTATTGCAATTGACCAGGTGAGCACCATATTCCCATGTTTTATAGTCCCCTTCTACGTGCGTAAACTTGATTATAACTTCATTTTTTTAGTATTTAGTTGGCATTTGTTAACTCAGTTATGTTGTTATGCCTTCAGTATAATAATTGGTTTACATTCAGTGAGTATGAGGAGCCGGTGACTGTCCGATCTTGTCGGCCAATACATGCTAGAGAACTTGCGATGGTTAGTATTGGCTCTTTTGTTTTAACTATATTTCTCAGTTTCATGTTAATGTGGGCGATTCCTTCTTTCTTTTTTGAGTTTTATTCTTAGCGTTAGGATTATGCTAATCCTTTCTGATAAGCTAGATATCTAGGTATTAACTTTCTAGTGTTCACCCTCAAAAAGAGTGGTCATTTGGTTTCAAAAATAGTTGCCTTCAGCCTGAATATCTTGTTGATACTTCTTATCCGCCTTGAATTCATTTTTTCATTTTATGCCCATGAATATTTTCATACTTCTTTCGCAGGTGAATGCCTTTAGGTCCATGATGCATGATGACATGATGGTTGGTGCTTTCTCTCATTCAACTGCAGTAGGAAAACTTCGTAAAGACCTGCCAGATGTCCCTGTAGATGCCCGTGTTAATTTGCCTCGTTATAGCTTAGATGAGGCAGACACTGTTAGCCATTACTACCTCAGGTGTGCATATGATATAAACCTAGTATCATTAATTTTGATTCTACTTTTGTATTGAAAACTTGTCTGATACTTGAAACTTCATCTGTTTAAAGTTTATGCTTCCTCTAGATTACATCATGGGGCACTAGAGTTACTTAAATTGTTGTTTGCCCATTGCAGGCAAAGGCTTGTGAGAAGAGAAGCATTCTCAGAGGAAAACTGGAAAAAAGTGTACTACTTATCCAATGGAAATGGGGCAGAAATGAGATGGTTAATTCCTTTGATGCGGTAAATGATACAGAAAATAAAAAATCTCCTCAAAAATTTTCTAAGAAATGGGGCCGATGAGGTTGCTTGGTGTCCCCTTTTGCTTTTCAATCTTTTTTGATCAAATTCTACACTTCTGCTTATTGTATCTGGTGAGACATTTGGTTGAGGTCATCATTTTTATGCCCAGGAACATGGGATTCATATCTATAGAACGATGTACCATAACGTAGTCAATGTCTGTAGTCAGTAGTTCGATCTTCAGGAAATTTTGATCATTTTTCTTACCATTGGATTCCATGTGGATTTTAGTGACTAATTCATCAGTGATGCCAAGTTGTATAACTCACAAGACCTGGCTGTTGAGATCTGCTGGTCATTTAGACAAATACAATGATTTTTCAAGGATCTTGCCTGATGAACTTGTTTGGGGCAAAACGCATAAGATAGAATCTTTGCTTGAACCACAAGTCAACAAATATAAGACTACTTGGAAGAAGCAAAGATGTACATCTCAACTTATTAGGAGTAATATGTAATCTTAACGAATATTCTTTTAAATTCTAAACGGATTGCACAACACTAAATCATGGCATGTCAAAATCATGTGACTTATTACTTTCGTACTTATGATTTACAGCAGTTAAAACCTTGGACATCATAAATCCTAATTTAGTAAAGCATGATAAGCTTTGATTCTTGATAAAATTAGCAAAATACCCGATGACGGCAGCATCAAAACCTGTCAGTGAAATGCATGGAAGATATCAGAGAATGAACAAACAAAAACATATAAATAAAATGAAACACGACCAGAAAAAGAAAAGCCTCATTACAGAAGCACATTGCTCCAGAAGTATAAACAGAATAGCATCATTCTATATAATATCACTTTAATTTTGCTCAATAGAACACTTCTTGGGGATAAAACCAACTCTGTGCATACCTGTGTATGCACATGGGTGCATGTCTGACAAGTCGAGAGCTTGCGTTGTCATTACATGTACACACTAAGCCTCCAGTCAGAACTAACATCCATTATTTTCATCTTTGAACGCTGAACACATGATCTAAGTTACTATTCTGCTAGCATAATTCACTTATTTCCTCAAATGAAGGCAGACACGTAACAGAGCCGCAAAAGTACCACGAAAACCCGTAACTCAAAATTTAATTCAAGGTTAGAATGGAGACTGGCATAATGGGCATGAAGATTTGTGAGAAGTTGAGAACCACTTGTAGAGGCATGCTGCATGGAATTTGTGTTTGCAGGTCTTGCAAGCAAGACGAGGAAGGCTGTGGTTTGCAGTGTGGATAACACTGTAACATATAGGGCACTCCTCAACACCTTCAAATTCCTTGTCAAAATTGCGCTTCCATATTCGTATAGCCTCAGCTAAAGCTCCATTCTGCATCAAAGACGAAGTCCAACTCGTGAATAGCACAAAACTAAAAATGAAATGGAATGCAGATAAAATATCAACTCATAGCTAGTACCTGATTACGAACAAACAACATCATAGACATCAACCACTTCCTCTGCTTCACTTCACTTATCCCTAGGCTCCTCACACAATCAACATCTACTGGACGTAACGGGTAAGATGCAGGAAGACGAATAATTAGATCCATTCCTGTCTCATCTTTTGTATAGGTAGCAACAACCTCATTTGCTGATTTGCTTACACTCACTGAAAAGTTCTCATCAGCAAAGTTTGCTGTCTTTATCTGCATACCAGAAGAAACTTGTCGGAACTATGTAATTAACTACAGAGTTGAACATAACATATATTTTTTGCCATCTCTTCCTCTTCAGGTCAAGTATTCAAAAACTTCAAACAAAGTGCATCAGAGAGCAAGTCAGGAAACAATAAACTTCAATTCACTACTGATAAGTGGTTTCCTTCAATTCAATTTCCATCTCGTTGAAGCAGAAGGAAGCTAAAGCATGCATTTGTCATTGGAGGATGATTGATATAGTAATTCTTACAGCACTTAAGTATCCAGATCATTCACAAAAACCTTGAAATTCAACAAGTGCAATAGTTGCTTGCTAAATTTGTTAACAATGTACTATGGTCATCGAAAATAGAAACATCTTTGTTAAATCTACATACCAGGGACAGTTCGTTTGCAACCAGAGGAGGACTGCACCATGCTCTGGTAAATGATTCGATCATTGATGAAGTAGAACGATCACGTAAATCACTAAACCATCCCCGCACATAAGCAGGAAGCAGGCGAAGCATAAGGCCGTATATGGCTCCAGTAAGTGCAGCCATTTTCACAGGTTCAATAGGCCAAAGGGATTCCACAGAAAACAATAATGACCCTGTCGTGATGGAATGTGTTGCTGCAGTTGCAGCCTCTGATAAAACCTTAGGAGGCTCCCCATCTTTCTTTTTTAGAACATGCATTAAACATAAGTCAGAAGGGAGATGTTGGAAAAGGCAATCTAGAATCGACGGATTAGCAGAATTTTGAATATATTGCACCAGTCTCTCCCTTGGAGCTGATGATGAAGGTAATGACGACAAATGGGATAACAACAAAGACCATGCAAGGAACAGATGTACCTGCAAATATGAAGAAGATACCATTATACAAATGGAAAACTATTTCATCAAATTTTAGAAAGTAAATTAAATATACCCGCTGCTCTGCTGCTAAATCTATATCAAGAACATCATAAGGTAATTTCTCAATCATGTATGATAATTCCTCAGTCAAATGGATATCCTCTTCTGGTGAGATATCAAGATGACCTGACTCCTGGTAGGCACTTGGATCAACATCCAAGCAACGTACACTTCCTTCACCAAAGACAGCCAACTTTGAAACAGGTTCTGTTGACAAAACAGCATAGGCAGCAAGCTGCAAAGATGGTATTGGTCTGGAAGAAAAGAGGATGGCATACAAAGAGCAAACAGGCCCTTTGCTTAGCCCCCAGAGTTTGACTGATTTGACTGCTTCATCTCTTGTATGTGCAGGAGATTTGATGACGCTTGAAGCAACCAATTCCCAGAAAGACTGATGACAAAATCGAGAAGCTGATATAATGGCCGCAGCCTCATAAGAATATGAACCAGCAATGGCCTCAGCAATGCCAGTGGAAAAGAATAAGCGGAGAATACTTTCTAGAATCTGTTTTTTTATAGGATCCCATCTTTCTGTTCTCAAGGGGTTTAAATTATCTGTGTCTTCTGTTGGTTGGAATTCCAAAATCCCACAAAAAAGGGAAAATGAGATGAGGGAATTTTTGGTGATATTTATAAGGGAAAGGTCAGAAACCAACACAATCTGTTCAAGTTTTTTACAAATAAGATCCAAGTTATCAGAAGAAGACTGTTCAGTGACTGCATCATTAACATTTTCAGCAACTTCCTCCATCATCACCACTGCTGATTCAATCCAGCATCTTAGATGGGAAAATAGAAACTCCCAATCTTCTTCATCAAATTCCCTCCAGCAACAACCAACCAAAATCACCATTAGCTTTGATAGCAACATCTGCACCACTGGCGACTGATTAGCTGCAATTGATCTACTGTTATCATGTCTCTGCTTCCGAAATAAATCCAGTAAGAGAATTCTCTCATCATGACCAATGTTTCTATCCAGCTTCATCACTTCAGCACCTCCCACGGCCCTTAAAGGATAACAGGAGAAGACCAAGTGGAACCATTCTTCCATTTCTGTTAAAAGAAAAAAAAAAGGATGAAGAACCATTAACACTATTTCAAATAGAAATCTCAAATTTCAATCAAATGATGCAAGATATATCAGGGGAGTGAATGCTTTTTCGCCATGGCCACAACAAACACATGCAACCAAATAAAAATGATGAAGACCTAGATAACAGATACAAATTTTTATAAGAAGCTTTTCTTTGTTTCAATCGCAAGTCTCATACCATGCATCACAGGGACAACAAATACTATTCAGCAACCATTTTGGCCCAAAAGCAATCAGTTTTATACCATAAAATTAACTTTCAACATGAATGAGAAAAAGGCATGCATACCTTGTCCAGTTTGCCAAGTGACCAAAGGTGGAAATATTAGAATCCTCTGGAGCCAGCCTTTGATAGTATCTTGGATCTGCTTTTCATCAAGTGGATCAGGTTTAACATCTACATTACTACATCCACTGGATCTGATACTTCTTTGACAAAATGTTGGTACAAGAACACATAAAATCGGAGGAAGTATTCTCAAACAATTTGTGTTTACTGCTTCACCGATAAAGAGTTTATTTACTAGAAGCTGAAACAGAATCATGGCCTTTTCTATTCCCCATATATTTTCTTTTAACAATGTGAAAAGGAAAGATACAAGAGCTCTCAAAAAGGGCTCTTTTATATCCTCTATATCCTCCATATCTTCACCTAAAGTAGGCCATGCATGAAGTGACCTCTGTGCACAGTTTTCACCACGAACGAGAGCACCATCAAGTAAAGTGTTGAAAATGGAATCCAAGAAACCTCCATAGGAAGAATAATTTCTCCTCTTGGCAAATGAGATCAGTAGAGGCAAGAAAGAGGTCGCAGCACTTCCTCCTGGCCATTTCCATGTGCATAGTATTTCTGCAGCAAGCCAAGCTCGAGAAGTAACCTCATTATTTGTTGTATCCTTGGTTGGTAGTGGTGGAGTGTCCATTTCATCGCCAGCAATGACTTTATCAAACCCAAGCTTAGAGATAAGATTATCTATTAAAGAAACGAACTTGTAGCATGCCTGCATCCAAGATACACTTGCTTCTGTTAGTCCTTGAGTTCAACCTCATTCTAGATATTGCAGAACTTTAAGAAATTGCAAAATAGTATCAAATTTATGCTTTATTCTCAAGAAATAAAAAATAAGACTAGACAATATTTCATGGATAATCAAAGGAATGCAAAAATTCAACTCAGTCAACCACTCATACAATCTGAAGCACTCACTAAACATCAATGATATGCTTATGAAATACTTAAATGTGTCATTCACTATAGGCTCACCTAAAACAGTGTACTCGGGTTCTACAGACCACTCAAGACAGTAGAAAGACTAACAAGGCGTATGGAAGCACAAAAGCTAAACTAGATACGCACTTTCAATCCATCCCACTACAGCTAATTTGTTACCATATTTTTTAGGAGACTGCTTGCAGCATAACAGGGGCAATAAATGACATCTTACGATGTGTCTGTGTGTGTTATATATCTATGTGTATTATATAAAATATGCATGTATGTATATGCAGATAAATATGTAGATAGAGACAGAGT